CGGTGTATCGCTTCCTCCGAGCTCTGTGGATGTGATAGTTCCAGAAGCGATCGTTCCGTCCGCGAGAGCGAGGCTGGGTGTATTACAACATGCAGTTGTCTCTGCGTGTGCGTGAACAGGTCAAAGATGTCGCTGAATACCCTGCCACGAAAACTGCACATCGGGGTTCACAAAGTGCTGCGCCTGCCACAAAATCTGCATTTCAAGACAAATGAAAATGGTAACCAGAATGGAGGGACGATTCAAGTATGATCTGACCATGACCCGAGATCGTCATGCAACAGTCATTCCGCAGAGCTAGATTTGCCAGGTCTGGCTGTGTCACTCACCTGGCGCAGCAAACTTCGCCCCCCAAGCGCAATGTTAAGGGTCTTCCTGAAGAAGACTTCCTGGAACCATTGGGCATGGATTTCAAATGTCTTGCTCCACCCCTGTCGCATATTGCTCAAGAACCTGGCAAGCAAAGGAACTGGCCCATACCGCCAGCAAGGGCTCGGGAGTTTGAAACGCTCCAGCCTTTTGGAAGCTAGTGCTCACAGACTCACGAACCCCTTGGACCTCACGGAACTTGATCTGTGGAAACCAGAGCTAACTGGAGCTAGAGCATTGAAATCCAAAGCGAACTGAAGCTCATGAGTGGTGCATGATGAGTGGTGTATGATGAGTGGTGTGTGATGGAGTGGTGTGTGATGCAGTGGTGGTTTGAGAATGATGCATGATGAGTGGTGTATGATGAGTGCCACGAAATGGTGTCACGGAGTTTTTGCGTGCTCTAAGGTTGAGCCTCTTTGTGTTCGGTGCAGGACGACTGTTTGCTCCGCCTGCTCATGCCCAGACGAACCTTTCGAAGCTGCGTGATTGTCGCAACGGAAGGACTTGTCCATGACATCAATGATGATGTTGAAGCTGTCCTTCACCTTTTCGCAATTTCTTGCAGGGCAGTTATTGACAATGTTTGTGTCTGTGGGAAACCTCAGAGGACACTTCTGTGGAACACTCTTACAGGACACTTTTGCACCTTATGCGGCACACTCGCACACTCTGTGGGAGACTCTTGCAAGACACCCTTGCGGAACACTCTTACAGGACACTCTTTTGTTGCACTCTGTGGGAATGGGACTCTTGTGCAACACTTTTGTGGGACCATCTCGTAGGACACTATTTGGGGCTTTCTTGCAGAAAACTCTTGTGGGACAATTTTGCAGACTCTTGGGGGGCACCCTGTGCATCCCCGTGTCCAGAATGCAAAGCAGTTGATTTTGACATTGAGTGCCACTGAAAGCCATCATGGCCAACTACTGCCGGGCATGGAGGTACTTGCCAAACTCCAGGAGCTGAAAATTCTTGATATTCTTTCTCTTCACCTGTCCAAGAATACAGGTGCAGTTGGAGTGCTTCGTCTCAGCAATCATCCTGAAGGTCTTGCCTTTCTGCTGATCATGGTTCATGATTTCGGCATCCCAAGCTGTCAAATCTTCAGGCAGTACTTCACAAGGTCCAAGTGTTGGATCACCTGGTGTTGAGGTTGCTGAACTTGCTGAACCTTTTGTTGAACTGTGGAACTTATGTCCTGCACTGGTGCGGGGTGAAGTCGATGGCATGGGCCGTGCAGGCAGGACTGAGGGACATGGATCGTGTGCTTGCAGCGCTGGTAGATGACATCCAAGGTGTCACCTGTACGCTTCCATGTTCAGATTTCGCAACAGGCGCAACCCTTTCTAACCCTAACCATCATGTAGAGATTTCGAGGCACATACAACACTTGTAAAAATCCATATGCATATTTCGTGGCAGGCACAGCATCCAAGGAATTAGAAGCTACAAACTAGCTGGCGACTTTGTAATTTTACTTGAATATGCGGAGCAATTTGTCAGCTAGAAAGTAAGAGCTAGCGATTTTTTAGGACAACTTCAATATGCGGAGTATCTAGCAAGCTAAACGATAAGAATTAACGACTTTTCGTTATACAACTTCAACACGTAGAATATCCAACGAACTGAACGAAAAGAAATAGCTATTTATGGTACAACTGTACTATGCCGAATATCTGTCAGCTAAACAATGAAAACTAGCGAGTTTCTAAAACATTTTTAGTACGCGAAATAATCCATAAAAAGCTCAGAACTAGCAATTGTATCGAAAACTTTGTACGCGAATTTTTTGTCGAACTAGACAGTAAGAACTAGCGACTTACTAATACAACTTTAATACATAGAGCAATCCATAAAATAGAAACTAAGAATGAGCGACTGTTTTCTGCAACTTTAATACGCGGAACAATCTGTAGAGCTTGAAAAAATCAGCCACTTTCTAGTAGCAGTACGCGAAGCAATCTATAGAGCTAAGAATAAGCGACTTTCTAATGCAACTTTAGTATGCGGAGCAATCCATAGAGCTAAACGCAACGTGGCCGAGGAAAGGTTACGAGACCTTAAAGCCTTTTCCTGGCCACCCTGCAATTTCACAAAGCTGGTCTATATGAGACGTCAGGACGTACAAGGACTCCATATATGGGTCATTTCAGTAAGTACCTGCTTCACTTGCGAATTTCAGTGCATACTTGGAACTACATTTGTTCCGACTTTGCTCCGACGCGCGTGCTGTGATCCCCGTCATAATTGCAGAACCGCCTGTTATTCAACCTTGTCCAGCCAGAATCACTAGATCACCCGATCCTTACTTCCCACTTCGTGTGCTCGCAAGAACTACACTTTTCTTTCATTTGCAGTGATCATATCGATCTTGTCGATATCGAAGCTCCCTTTCATGGATGTTGGGATGTTGAGCAATGAGTTCATTGCAAGCATCGTTCACCGTCATCTTCCCGGCCAATGCCGTGCGGATCAGGAGCTGGTGGTCGCTTGAAATGCCACTTGACCTATTCCGATAAAATCACTTCCGGCAGGGCCAACTTGTCATCTAAATCGCAGAACATCTTGTACCAGGTTCGTCGATGCAAAAGGAACGAGGTCAGCGGTTCATCGCTCTGTCGGCTAAGGACTCCATGGGTTTAAGCTCCAGCTGCATAAAGCTCTCGTGCTTCCTGTTGTCGGCGGGGTCTAAAAGGCTAGTATAGGTGGCGAAGCAACAGCTTATAACCATCTTTTTCAGCCAACTTGGATACTTCGACCTCCCGTACAACCTATGAGCCCATCGATCAGGCGTAGCCCCAAGGGGCTTCCAACTCCCACAGATTTAATTGCTCCGCGCACCAAAGTTACACAGCCAAATCACGAGTTCCTCCCAGACACTCCGCGTATTACACATCCATACAAAATCACTTAAAAAAGCTTCGCTTAATAGCAACGAATTCAAGACGTAACAACGACAACAAACGGCAACAGACGACGAAAAACGACGAAAGACGATAACAAACGACGAAACGACGCAAGCCATACAAACAACTCCAACCCCCATACTACGCATTCGACAAACAACCTAATATCCAATAAAAAAATTAATTAAATCATTCAAAAAAAAAATCATTTTATAAAAACATTTAATCAACACCCCACAAAATAAAAAAAAATTATATTAAAAAAAATCAAATATATAATCAAAAAAACTACTTTAATCCATAATAACATATATTATACTTAATCACCAAAATATCGCAAATTAAACGGCGCAATTTAATAAAATCATCTTCCCCAATAACCTAATTTTTCATTCCATAAAATATTATTAAATCAATAATAATTAAAAAAATTATCGGCCTTTTCAATAATAATCAAATAAACTATATCGAAATAATATAATCGAATAATAATCGCAACCATTTAAAATATCAAGAAAACTAAATCAATTCCAACTCCATATTTATTCAAAAAAATATATAAAAATATCCCCATTCCCAAAACTTACGAATATCTATTTTCATTCGTAAAATTAATATAAAAAATAAAAATTATTAAAATACGAAACAAAAAATATCAAATTTTCAAATTCGTTCCTTAAATTATATATATATATATCGATTTCTTTGGAAATAAAGAAAATTCACAATCCCTAATATTCTTCTATTTCAAATCTCCCAAAAAAAAGTCCCTATTTATTCATATAATATTAATAATTACAATCGCATTTTTTCATAAAATATCGAATATTTATTTACATTAACAATTAAATTCTTTATTTAAATCCCAATTATTTATCGTAAGTTATATTAATCTTATATAACTTTTATAAAAGAAATTATTATTAAATCATAATATCTTTAATTAAATGATAAAATAAACCACCCATAATACGCGAATCGCAAAAATTTCCCTATATACTTAAAAAACTAATTTACACCGGAATCAACGTTTTAACAAACAACATAACGCGAGCCAAAATAAAAAACATTAAAAAAAAACGAAAATCGCCGATTTTTTTTCTAACTTTCGATCCCAAAACAATTTCTAAATTGTTTTAATAAAAATATCTAATATATCATAAATAATTATTTTATTATATTACAAATATTCATTCTATAAAAAAAACTAAATTAAAAATATTAACCCAAAATTTATTTATCATCGAATATATATAAAAAAATATTAATACCATTATATATTTCTCAATCTAAAAAAAAAACAAAACTTAGGTAGCAAAGCAAAAAAAAATATATCCTACGCTATATCTCACCAATTTCGTTCTCATTACATATGAAATCATCGTATCACACATCTATAAATCTCTTACCATTAACATATCCACATTCAATACACAGCGCAGCGCACAACCTTACAAAGGATAATCATATCAAGAACCTTTGCGCTACACTTTGAACAACATGTCTCCAATTTGCCACTTTGCACAAGCCAATTCCTAAGAGCCTAGCAAGAATACAATATACTTATCTTTTAAGACGCAAAACCCACCCAATTTGCCAGTGGAGTTCCATTAATTTTCTTATGTCCAAAAAATTGTCGCGCTTTAGGATTATAATTCGACTTTCTTTTTAATCCAAATATATACATAAACAAATTGATACATCATTTATTCATCAAACCTTTTCATTTTCATACTAAAGCATTGGGCATCCAGCCATCGATCGACTCCAAGTTGGTCACCTCAGCAGGAGCTTCACTCATGATTTGATTTTGACAAACTGACTTCTCATTGAACACAAAACTTGCAGAATGTGGAAGGATTGCACGAAATTAGTAAGTTAAGTTGAGTTTGCTTAAACATCTAGGAACCAAATCGTCATTGTGAGCACTTCTTCAAGAAAGCTACTCGCCTGAGGCTCAAAGAAGCATGAGCGGCTTTAAGAGTCCCCAGTCCAACGGGGAGCGGCCCAGAATAGAGCAAAAACAACAAAGGAAAAGGAAACATTCTTCCATGTCACGGTCGTTTTGAGCCCAGCCTATTTGCTGGAGGAGCTGCGGCTCCTTTTGCGGCGTGAGCTCCGACTCCGCTCCTTGCCTCGACGGTTCTCGGCTCTTTGAGATGGCAAATATAGTTCCCGAAAGCATTGCGAAGGGTTCTTTCGGAAAATCCTTTGAACACTGACACTTCGACACTTGCACTTACACACTGATACTTCCACCACACTTGCACTACAACATGCACGCTATACGTGCCCCAGTGTAAGTGGAAGAGCGAAAGCATCCAAGTGCAAAGTATGCAAGTGTGAAAGTATGCAAGCATGCAATGAGTAGGCAAGCATGTAATGAGTATGCAAGCATGCAATGAGTAGGCAAGTGTGAGCATGGAAAAATAGCACGAGAGATGTCCTAATGAAAAAACATTTCCCCACTTTATAAATTCTCTCTTAAAGGCGGAGGGTGGGACGAACAGTGTCAACCGAAAGTGCAACCCTCTGCGAAGATCGTGCGTGTCGAGTGCACGAAATGCAGGCGAGAGTGCGATTTGCAACCTGCGCACGCAGCCTTCTGCGGAGATCGTGCGTGTCGAGTGCGCGAAATGCAGGCGAGAGTGCGATTCGTCCGGTGCGTGCGCAACCCTCTGCGGAGATCGTGCGTGTTGAGTGCGCGAAATGCAGGCGAGAGCGCGATTTGTGAAATTACCGCGCAACCCTCTGCGGAGATCGTGCGTGTCGAGTGCGCGAAATGCAGGCGAGAGCGCGATTTGTGAAAGTACCGCGCAACCCTCTGCGGAGATTGTGCCTTTCTAATGAGAACTTTAGTACGCAGAGCAATCTGTGGAGCTGGAAGGTGAGAACTGGCGACTTTGTAGTACAACTTTAATACGCGGAGTAGCTGGGGAGTGTGAAGATGAGAACTGGCGACTTTGTAGTGCAACTTTAGTGCGCGGACTAGCTGGGGAGCTGGAAGATGAGAACTGGCGACTTTGTAGT